ACACTGAAAAACAACCGATGCCTTTTATTATTTGTACATTCCTTAACAACAAGTCACCATGTACAAAGTTTTTCAAAGAGTTTGCAACAGACAAGGAGCTAGAAATAATGTTGAAAGAATTAACAGCAAATGAATCTCACTAAAAGTGGTTCTTGTTGTATTTTTTCCCCACTATTTACTTGGCATCATAAAAGGATTTACAGGCAAAAAAGAAGAGAGTCAGCTCCTGCCTTAAAATAAAATCCTGCAACCCCTTAATTATTTGAAAATCTTGACACACACAAATAGTACCAGAGGTCAGCTCCTGCCTTAAAAGAAAATCCTGCAACCCCTTACTTATTTGAAAATCTTGACACACACAAATAGTACCAGAGGATTCCAGTGGGATTACTCATGTGACTAAGGGCTACTTGCATGAGTAAAATGTTGCTTAAAGAAGCCCTAATGCAGACAGAAATCTGCACAAGGAACTCCTATCGGAAAAAGCACAGGTGAATGGCCATCAGAGCTTTCTTGCACAAGAGCATCCACGGTAGTGTGGATGCTCTCTTGTGCAAAAGCACATCTCTTGCTCAAAAGCACATGGCAGTGTGGATGCGCTCTTGCGCAAGAACTTTTCGCGAAAGATCTTTTCTTGCGCAAGAAGCCTGCAGTGTAGACTTAGCCCCCGAGATGCAGGAATGGAAGACAGGTTTACCAGGAGTTCTCAGTCTGTGGGTCAGGTCTCCAAAGTGGGTCATGACACTGTCTTAATGGGATTACTAGGTCTAGTGATGGGCTTGTTGACAGCCTCCCCCTGATTGTCCGGGGCCAAAGTCAAAGCTCAAGTCACACCTCCCAGGGAGGAAGCCAAAGCGTGAGGGCTTCAGCTGAGCAGTGGGATTCAGGCTTTGCCTTCCGCCCTGGGCAGCAGGGCTGAGGTTACAAGCCCCTACCTGGAGCTGAAGCCCTTGGTCTTTGGCTTTGGTCCCCACATCCAGGGAGGTGTGTTCAGGGACTTGGATGGTCTCAGGCTTGAACTCCCCCTCCTGGGGTCATGCAATAATTTTTGTTGTTAGGAGTCACAGGTCAAAGAAGTTTGAGATCTGCTGTCCAAGAGCTTGTTGAATAGGCAGGAGGTGAAAGGTAAGAACAGAGAACATTAAGGAGATGGCTATAAGAGTGGTAGCAGTGAGGATGAAGGCCAAAGGGAAGATACTATCAATGGTATGCAAGTGGATTTAACAAGAGTTTGAATATCAGGAGACATAAGTGCCAAATTACCCTCTAGCCTATGGGTGCTCAAACCCCTTCTGCCCAGTCCCTGCCCCTACTCCACCTTCACCCAAGCCCAGCCCAGCCCCACCTCTTCTCACTCCTCCTCTGCTTTCATTCCATACCCTTCCCCCAAGTCCCCACCCCATCTCTTCCCACCCCTGCTCCATCTCTGCCCTCATTCTACTTCTTCCCTCAAGTCACTGCCCCACCTCTTCCCAGCCGCCATCCTAGGGTTGCCAGATGGTCTCCCAAAAATACCGGACACCCAATATTTTTTGGTCGAGCCAAAACAAAAAACAAAAAAACAAAAACCACACACAGGATACGCAACTCCGCCTCCCAGCTGGGACTCCCAGGCCCCCACTCTCCCACCCCCACCAGGCTTCTGCACAATCACAGGCTCCCAGCACATGTCCAGTATTCTCTGATTTTTTTTTACCGGACAAAGAGCGCAAATACCGGACTGTCCGGTAAAATACCAGACACCTGGCAACCCTACGCCATCCCCAAGTGCCCAACCCTACTCCTCCACTCCCACTGAAAATGTCCTGAACACTGCAAAACAGCTGTCTATGGTGGTCAGGAGGCAGATGAGTTGGTTAGCGGGGCCACTGGTGGGTGAGAGGCACTGAAGGGAAGCAGAAGCTTGGCTGCTGGTGGATGGTCCAACCCTGGGAGACTGCCTCAAGGCAGACAGTGCAGTTGCCAACTGGGACAGATAACAGGGGAAGGCACAAGAGGGGCACAGCAGGAAATATGAGCGGATCCATTTCTAATACATGGATTTTGTGGCCTGTTGTCCCATAGATTGGTACAACTCTACAACCCCCTGAAAAGTGTCTGTTGCTGGCATAGAATATACAGCAAAGGAGGGCATGGTGATTTAGGGTGGGCCTGTAGAGCTGAGCCCAAACAACAGGAAACACATTTGAATGGTCTCTGTGGTTCCTTTGCCCAAGTCACTCACCCAACTGACAATTTCAAACAAGCTTCCCTTCCCTGCCCCTCTGGTGATAGTAACTCCCTTTCTGGAACAATGATTGTTTATTTTTCATTTTTATTGGCCCCTGCAACTGCCAGTCTAACAGCACGGGCAGGATTCCCTGCACAGAGAATGCCAGCAGCACATGTCTGCAACGCAGGAATATGGTGTGCCAAGTTGTAATTATTATGCCTTGCTATGTGGCCTTGGATGAGCCATGATAGCTAAGTAATCACACACAGGGAAATGAGCCTTTGACATTAACCCTTAAGAGCTACAAGTCAAGGCTTGTTCAAAATGTAATGGTTTAATAAAAAGCAAATTACATACTCATGTCAGAGATTTAGACTCTTAATTACAAATTGTAAAGGACCAAACTGAAGCTGTCTGTTTCCCCCTTTCTTCCCCCAGGCCAGATCTTTAATTTAAAATGAAATTTCATTTTATCAGACACAAAATGGGATGCTACCATTAAACCGCACCAGAGTTTCCAGGACACATTCCCATTTTCATTCCATTGTTGCTTCACATTTATTTACACAGTGTCCTTAATGCAATGCAGTAGCAAAGGGTGATAGCTAGGTTTAAATGCTGAAAGAGTTTTCACAGGATTATAACTTTTTACAATAGTAGAAAGGGATGGCAGTTCATCCAGGCACCTACAAAAGTGCCATGGGACCTTTGATGTCTATGTAGTTATTTATATTGCACTTCCCATCACAAATGTCAGAATACCTTTTAAATTATACCTCTCTCTTACATACCACTTTTCAATGGTAGATCTCATAGTGTTTTACAAAGGAGGTCACATTCATTATCCCCATTTTACAGATGAAGCACAGAGAGGTAAGGTGACTTGCCCAAGGTCCCCAAGCAAACCAGTGGCAGAGCTGAGGAAAGAAACTAGGTCTCCCAGCTCTTTCCACTAAGTCACTCCACCTCTCATTGTGTTAACATTCACAATGTCTATCAGATAAAACTTTTTTATGTTTGTATCCAAAAGAGTCAGATATGGTAAACTGCCTGGTGCTCAGTTTAATCCTACGAGAAAGAATTAAGGGTGATGGAATCTGGATTTGTGGTTCTAGATATGACAAACACAGAGCCTGATCCTGAAAGAGAATCACAAACCCTACTTCTGGTGCAGAATACCTAGTTCTCCATGTCAAGGGCACAATTTGTAATGGAGAAAGAAGACAGCTTCTCCCCCTCAGCCCTTACTCATACTTTTCATAGGACTATCTGCACCACTTCTTCGCCCCCATCCTGAACTTTGCAGGCTACATGATCAGATATAGTGCCCTATTTCCTGGTACAACTTTGATCCTCACAGTTTTTTTCTGAAATGACATTCCAGCTCTATGAGGTCAGAAGGGGCCTGTACATGTGGAACTGTTTGTAGGCTCGGACCCCTAAACACCTTTATGCAATACCGATTAAAGATATTTTTGTTTTGTCCTCATGTTGCAACTTCGGAACAGATTGACATTTTTAAAGGGAACTCCCTACTATCCTAGCATAGTTCTCAATTTCACTATATTGACCCTATTACATGTTTGGGAGGGGACGGGGGAGAGAGGGAGTTAAAATGAATACTAACATTAAGTATTGTAACCATAATAGCTCTCACACTACTAGCAGGGCTGCCTGGGTTAACTATAAATATATTGCTACACTATGTCCAATACCAGAAAGCCATTGCACTACTCATCTCCCTCCCCCATTCCTGGTGACTGACTGACAGCCCTGCTGAATGCAAATCCTCCGGCAACACAAGTGCACGATAAAACACTGAATGGAGCCTCAAGAATAACCTTAGCACCCACAGGATTCAAAAGCTGGGTAAACCAACCAGTTTCATAGTTCTCAACTTTTACAGACTACTGTGCCCCTTTCAGGAGCCTGTATTATGCTGTCTACACCCAAGTTTCACCTCAATTAAAAATTACTTGTTTACAAAAGCAGACATAAAATTACAAAAATGTCACAGCACACTATTACTGAGAAACTGCTGACTGTCTTATTTTTACCATATAATTATAAAATAACACAACTGGCATATAAATACTATACTTAATTTTAGTGCATGTAACAGTATAAGCAAATCAGTTTGTATGAAATTTTAATTTGTATTGACTTTGCTAGTGCTTTTTAATGTAGCCTGTTGTAAAGCTAGGCAAATATATACACGAGTTGATGTACCACTGAGCACAGTCAGGTAGGGAACCCCTCTTATTTCTGGCTGAGAACCCCTGCACCAGCTGGCTGCCGGGAAACGCTAGAGGCAGGAAGGAGTGAAAGGTGCCACCCAGACTTGGTGGCTTCTCCTCTCAAAGTGAGGGCCACCCAGTCTCGTTTCCCCAAGCCCTGCTGGAACTATTTTTATGGGAGGGCGGGGTGCTGACGGCAGAAATGATGTATCCGGATTGTTGCTACTTCAAGCCTAGGGGTGAAGAGACCCCCCTTTCCCAGCTGGCTGCCTAAAAGTTCCTCCCGCAGAAACGTGCGTGCGCGCAGCGATGGAGAAGGGGGGCACTGCCAATCTCTCCTCCCCACTTGTCAACACGCTCGCTGGTCCCGCCTGCCGTGGCCTTGCCAAGGCTGGGACCTGGAGGGCTCGGCGGCCCCCAGGCGTTCAGCAAGAGCAGCAGAGAATGTGAAAGTGACACGCAGAGGAGCAGGGCTCTGCCCTCTTCCCCCCTCACTCCCCGCAGCGCTTGCGCCCCCCGCCCCAGCCCTGAGCCCGAAAGATGCCACTTACCCAGCAGCGGCATGGGTCA